CTTTACCCCTCCCCCCTCTCATGTTCTTTCTCTCTCTATCTCTCAGAAATAAATAAAATCTTTTTTAAAAAAGAAGAAAATTTCCTTTCTGGAACACTGAGCGTAGCTTCAGTTATCAGGAGACAGAGAATCTCTTGGTAGGAGATACTGCTGAGGTGTAATTAAATGCACTGAAAATGCTCACCAACACTTTCCAGCAAGCTTAAATTTATTTTTTATTTCTTTTCCAGCAAGCTTAGATTTAAAGCAGAGTGAATTTCTGCATTTCTATATATTTGATTTCGAATGGGATAACGGGTATAAATTCTCCCTGAATGAGGGGAAAAAAGGGGAGTAGCAGAAAAGGCAAGAGGGATGTTAACAGCTAGAGAAGCAGACATTTCAGTGGAAGTAACAGCCCAGAGCGCAGGGATCGGCTGGCAGCCCATTATGGTAGGAGAGATGAAAAACACATAATACCCGGAACAGAGGCCGAAGCCCATGGGCTTCTCTAGTTTTTTTTTTTTTTTTGTCAGATGAGTAGGGGACGTTAAGTGAGAAATGCCAAGGTGAGGAAAAGACTAATCTAGAATGAGATGGCTAGAAACTGCTACTTCCTGTGTACTTCAAATAACCAATTCAGGAAGCATTAAGTCACAGGGGGAAAAGAAGGGACTCTCCGCCTCATTCTCCCTGTAAAAGGACAAGAAAACAGGCATGACGGTAATTAAGAAATACTCTTGGGGAATGGCGCACTGTTACTCTTTAAAATGGTACTCTGCACAGCATGGCGACTATAGTTCATGATCTTCCACCGCATATCTGAAAATTCCTACGGGAAGAGATCTTAAAAAGTTCTCATCGCGGGCGCCTGGGTGGCTCAGTTGGTTAAGCGACTGCCTTCGGCTCAGGTCATGATCCTGGAGTCCCAGGATCGAGTCCCACATCGGGCTTCCTGCTCGGCAGGGAGTCTGCTTCTCCCTCTGACCCTCTTCCCTCTCGTGCTTTCTATCTCTCATTCTCTCTCTCTCTCAAATAAATAAATAAAATCTTTAAAAAAAAAAAAGTTCTCATCGCAAGAAAAGGTAAAATTGTAAAAATGTTAGTGTAGGGTGACAGATGTTGACTAGGCTTATTGCAGTGGACATTTCACAATACATAGAAATATTGAGCCATTTTGTTGTATGCCTAAAACTAATACAATGTAATATATCAATTATACCTCAATAATAACAACAAAAAAAAGTTCTGCCACAGTAATGTCTAGCGATTGTTTCCTTAAGTCTATACATTTAGATTCAGGAGTTTATTAGTTGGTATCCCAAGAATAAGGTGGGATGCTAATGATAAATGCCAAATTCTAACACAGCCCAGAATTGCACACCATGAAGGTCTCTTGGTGAAGGTTCTAGAAGACCTCCTGGTCCCCTTCAACAGACTATTCTGCTTCGATCTTGACTTATTATGTTAGACAAACACAGAAAATTGGCTAAAATAAAAAGGTCACAGCATCTTCTGACCTCATTATCCTCAATGTCATAAAGACTATTTTATTTACTGTATAGTCATTTAACTGATCTTGTTGCCCACCAGCCATAAATATGATCTACAAATTCAACGGTCTTAAAAATTGCAGGCATCATTTCTCTGACATTAGAATTCAAGATAGAATCATCTGCTTCCTAATCATATTTTTGCCATAGTCTAATCATATACAAATATTAAAAACATGCTGTTTTCCTAAGCACACCCAACACAGACTATTCTCCTAAATAATTGCAATAAGTTTAAATACTACTTAGAACATAAAATAATGCCTGTTTTCACCTGAAGGATCACAAATACAACACTGGACATATAATACAACAGATCATCCAAATGCGGTCATTTTATAAACAATATGTAGTAAACAGAATGTCTAGGTTAAATGAATACATGTTCCAAATATTTTGATCTCATTTATTCTCAGAAAGAGAGTTGAATTATAGGTATCATTGTTCCCATTTTAGAGATGAGGTAAATTTTAGTACTATTAGGTAATTTAACACAAATTCTACAACTATTAGGAAGTGGTAGAGTCCACAATGAAACTGTAGTCAGTTTAACACACACTGTAATATCCATTATGTGATCAAATTAAGCTATCAAGTTTATCAAGGACATTATATTTTCCAAATTAAGTAACTAGATTTTGTCAGGAAGACTAAGAGTCCAACCATCTAATTAGTATAGGTTTAAATACATGTCTGTAAAAAGTAATGATTGCATGCCTTCTTTTCTTCCCATGAACATCTGCCTCTCCAGGTTTCCACATCTTCATTTATATTTTTTTTCATTTTCTAGGTCTTGTGAAAACTTCTGTTCATAGCCATTTCCTCCATCAATTTAAAAAAAAAAAAACGGAAAATATGTTTATTCTACATAACCCAAGTGATCGAAAATGTAGAGGTCAAAGTCATTATTATAACTTTTTATTCAGAGTGCCAACCTAAGGAGAATCATTTCATCATCTCATATGTACAATCTAAACTATTCAAGTTCTCTGCCACCTCCTTCCAAGCAAATATAAATTGCCCCTTTGAAGCCTTTTGTGTCTATCAATTCCCTTTCCATCTCAAGTTATTTTACTGTCCTTTTTCTGGACTTGTCTGTTTTTGTCAATCAAGGCTTTGTTTTTTGTTTTGTTTTGTTTTTAACCTATTTACCATCCTGGACATTCTTTTTACTGTGAATGACAGTATTGAACTCCCAATATACAGCCTGCCAAGAGATAAGCACAAACTTGTTTCCTGTCACATAAAATCTACTAAGTGATGGTCTCTGATTAATTGAAAGAAAAGCACAGAATATCTTTTTCATTAATCAAGAAACCACACAATTTCTCTTAGAAAAATTTCAATAGCATCGCCTAGTAGCTTTATATGCATTTGGAATTTAAGTCACCTAGGGGTATGCATTTTTGTAATTCTAAATGGCCTTACAGGGATTCAATATAAGCATTCTCAATTATGATGTGAAAATTTTAAAATTTAAAATAGGGTGTTTTTAAAATTTTAAATTATGTTTATTTCAAAATGTCAACCTCATTTGGGCAACTCCACTTAAAACTAAATTAACGGGAATATTTCAGTTGCCTTTAGAAAACTTTACATTCCCATAAAAGTGTGATTTCACCTAATAACTACTGACTCTTTATGAATTCATTGAATATTATATACCTATCTACTGAAAAAAGTTTGATGAATCTGTTAACTATGCATTAAAAATAAATGAAATTAAGGGCCTGATTCCTAGTCAATAACATTGCATAATGATTATTGCTCTCACTTTGTTGACAAGAAAATGAATGAGAGAGATTGAGAGAGAATTGCAGTAAATGCACAGTCTATGTGATGGTACTATTGATAAAGGTACAATGGCTATAAAAAAATATATGCACAAAAACTCTTGTGTACTTACATATCCTTTCTTAGGGCAGAAAAATGCTACCACTGGGCCACAAAAACATCCTAATCCACATGCCTAGAAACTCTTAACTTGTTCAGGTCCTCTTTGTTTACAGTACAGTATCAGTCAGTATTTATAAAATATAGAGGCATAAAAGGAATAAAATAATAAAGATTACTTTGACTTATGTAGATACCCCATCGACAAAAACAGACTTTCCCCTCTTCCTTAAGATGTGTTCAAATGAAACAATGGCCCATGGAATAAATAACAAAGATTCTTTCTCAGTTATTCAAAGTTGAAAATTCACTCATGGATAAATTCATCAGTTTGCTGTGCTTCATTTTATCAGGAAGAGATGCAGAACACTGGCCAAGTGAAGAGCAGAAATGCAGATGTATAGATACCTTGCTGGTGTGCGCTACTTAGAAACTCTTTACCAGTACCAAGCACCAAGCTGAGAACTTTGGGAAATGTTTACATAAGCAAACCTGCAGTAGAGTAGAGACTGGGAACACGTTACGAGGATGGTAGGGCCATGCTTTCTCGAAGGGCCCTTCAGTTCAGAAAGCCCTTGAATGGAAATCCCCTACGCAAATATTCACACAGAAAGAAGCTGTGAAAAAACATCCCAATTTGGCTACCACTTGGCCCCCAAACACGTACCACAAACTGCCCATTTTTGTCTGATACCACTTAGAAACTGACTTCTGTTCCCATTCATTTTTAATCAAAAGGAAAATCTAAAAAAAGAAAACAAAACAACGGATCCATCAAAACAAGACCACCACTAAGAAAAGTGGGTCAGAATTGCTCGTAAATGAGGGACAATAGGCTCGATAATTTCACTTTGCAGTCTTTAAATTACAAGTATCAGAAAAGCAGTCTTACACAATTCACAGTGCTCACCATGAGAGACTCTGGACTCTGAGAAACAAACTGAAGGTTCTAGAGGGGAGGGGGGAGGGGGATGGGTTAGCCTGGTGCTGGGTATTAAAGAGGGCACGTACCGCATGGAGCACTGGGTGTTACACGCAAACAATGAACCATGGAACACTACATCAAAAACTAATGATGTAATGTATGTTGATTAACATAATAACAAAAAGAAAAAAAAGAAAAGTTAATGAAAAAATAAATTACAAGTATCGGAAAAGCATATATAAGCATAAAGTTAGTATGTGCATCATTTATATAGTACTCCCCGCCCCCAAAAAAGAAGCTAAAAAACCAACTGCCTATAAGCACCCACTACTCTTCATTTATTCGTGAATATTCTTGTTCTAATTTTGGAAATAAAAGTTTTACTAGTGTACCACAATCATGGTTAACTAGGCATCTGTAGACTCCTCCTCTGTTTCTAGAAATAAACATCACTCCCTAAGTTATGGCTTCAACGTATGGATAACAATCTGGACTATAATTTCCAAGTGGCTAATGCCAAAAACTTCATGAACTATTTCACAGGAGTAATAGTTTACATTTTCCACCCCCAAAGCAAAAAGAGCAGTTCTCTATCCAAACACAGACATTCACAATAATCATTTGTGACTTTGAAAGGCCAAATGCCCTACCTTTCCTACATAGAGAGGGTCTGAACCCATGTATTCCTCCAGCACAAAGAACTGATTCCACACCCAGCTGCGCTTGGTCCGGGACCTCCCTGATTGGAAATAGGGCTTTGATCTGGACCTGGAGAGCTCTGCTTGACTCATCCCAGACAAACACAGGAAAAGAGCTATTAGCTGCAGAAAATGGCAGAACTCCACTTTGCCCAACTTCATCTTTTTTTTTTCTTTCTTTTTCCTGTGTAAGAAAAAAACCTTGACAAGAGAAAAGGCACAGTTCCAGTTGGCTTAGTAGCTCTTGCCTCCGGCAGGGTGTCAGCTGGGAGTCCAGAGATAATAATTTGTAGAGTGTTCGATTGCAAGGGGTCACCACTGCTGAATAACCTTCGCCAAAGAATGGTGTAATAGGTACCTAGCAGAACAAAAAGAAGAGCTAGTGTCAGAAACCAAAACACATCATAACTTTTAACTTCCATTTACTTACTATTGATTTTCCCAAGATACCATCATTTGCATAATTTTTAAATTATTAATTATAAACTTATACATTTACAATGACTCTGCCACATGTATAAATCACATAAATACTGCTGATGCAGAATTATCCTCATTCCACAACATAATCTTAAAACTTTGTGTTTCTTGCAGGCATTTTATTTGAACATATGGTTTACTTGATACAAATGGAGCGACATCAGTTAAAAAATCATTTTAATGCTAGCCTTTATTTTTTTCTTTTATATTACAGTCAGTTTCATTCATTGGTATTAGAATATGAAAGCAAAGCAGCTCAAAGCAGGGATTTAACCAAATGGGAAGGACATATGTTGGTTTAAATCTCTTCTGTGAAACTGTAAAGAGAAATAAAGAAGTATGAGGTGATTCAAAACGGGTTGATTGATTCTGAGTCACAGAACACCAGCTGTTTTGATGTGTTCTGATTTGATTGTGATCAGCTGCAAAGCTCAGTAGTTTCCATTTTCCACCCTTCAAACCTATTGTCATGTCTGCTGTGTAGCATGTTAGGTCACGCTATAGCGCAAATTATCTATTGAACATCTTACAGCATGACTTGTGCATAGTAGGGCTTTCTTCCCTAAATATTTATGGAATTGAATAGATCATTAGAGAGGTGTGCAGACTCAACTGTATTTGTGAGCCCCGTTCACAGTGAGTGTGCACCCAGAATACTCCAGCAGCAGCATGAAAACAAAACAACTTTTATTCTAAAGTCTACGTATTTCAGATACAGAATTCTTGTTTATGCAAGATATAAAATCAGTTACAAAACAAACTTCCAAATATACCCCAAAACACAGAGGAATAAAAATTTATGGCAAAAAGCTTCTTTAAATCACTCTGCTGTACTTTGGTTTATAAATTCACTTGACTATAAATAAATCAACAATAGGATAATTTAAGGTGAGGGTTCACATTTGCTTTTTTGGGGGGGGAGGAAGAAAAATAGAGTTTTAAGGACATGAAGCCAAAAGATAGTTCCCTATCAAAGTAGCAAATACACTGTCTTTATATTATTAGCTTTCTCATCTTCCGACCCGTCTCTCCTGTAACAAGAGTGTCTGTGACTCATTAGATGATTTCTGACAGTAAAGTTGCTTATGGAAAATGCTTTATCTAATAGAAGAAAAATGGAATGTATTAAATATGTTAAAATAGTCGACACAACTGTTGAGAAACAGGTTGCATTGACTTTGAGCTCTATTCAAATGAACATATTCATGTGAAAAATATCCCTATCAAGTTCTGAAATTCCAGAGGGCATTACAGAATAATCCAATGTACAGCTAATTGATGTATGCTGAGAACCACCAGAAGAGTAAACTACAATTGGAGCATATTACTGCAGTCTGTGCAATGAACACCTCCTATTAAAATCCAAATCTCTCATCTAAGCATCTAAAATGAATTTGGTCCATTTAGAAATCACTCTGGAAAGATTAGTTGTTCTAAGACTTGGAATTATAAACAAGAGTAACTTGGGGTCATATCTTTGTGTTCCAACGTAGGCCCCTCCATTAGTCTGAAAGTACACTGCAGGGAGGTCTGAGCTAACCCACCTAAGACAGGTTATCTGTAGTTAAAGAAGGCAAGTAGGTGCTTAGACTGGGAAACAGAAACTAGTATGGACTAGTCTATAATGAGCTAGGAGTCATGGCCAGGAACTCACAGGTAGTGGTCCTTGTAGGAATGGCTGACAGCATGTGGAGGGCCAAGGTCATGTAGTTCCCCTCATGCCAGTGGCAAATCATGTTCTCAGGGATGGAGGGGGATGACTTAGAGTTGTGGTGACAGGATTGTCTAGCATGGGAGACATGTGGCCGAAGAACATTTCAGTTTCACTGCTCTACTTCCTCAAGAGAGAATGTGCTTTCTCATAAAAACAAGGAGATAATTACTTTGGTCCCTAAGACAATTTTTTTTAAATGTGATATAGTTATATTATTTAAGCTACTCTATGGCTCAGGTGAACTTGATAATATTGTTACACGATGAAATGCATCCAACTTCAAGAAACAAAGTAACAAATGAACTTTTGGAATTCAAAATTCGGAGAGTTATCAAAATTATACCCTGGGAAAAAGTGCAGGCACCTGTATCAGATAAAGATTCAAATGCTGACTCTTTCCTGTTTTAGTTATGCATTCTTGGACATGTGACTTAAATTTTAAGATAAGTTCCAAAGGAGGTCTTAAACCTCTAACTTGCAAAACAAAGATGGTAATAATTGCATCTACTTCGTAGGATTAAATAAGCAAAACATGAAAAACTAAAAAGCCCTAAAAAGTTTAAAAAGAGCTGTTGGGGGTTATTTTGATATTTTCTAGTTATGTTAGTTTGTGATGTTTTCATTTTAATGTTATTTATAGGAAAATGTTTTAGTCAACTCTTGCACAGAATGAAAACATTCCTGATAGTTCTAGTCTCAGTGCCATGGAACTATATGGATCATGAACCCAGAATTCTAGATGAATATAAACAATGGCACCAAAATACTTTAAGAAAAAAGAATGCAATACTTTCTTTCCCAAGGCATGTCTTCTGTGATTTTTATAAGCCAAAGACTGGCATCAGAATTGGAAAGATTTGAGTTCACTTAAAAATTTCACTAATAAGAAAAAGAAATATAATCTGGACCAGGAATAGGATCAGTGGGGTCTTTGCACTAAAACCTCCTTTATTTGCTATATGACCTTGGATCCTTCTGGGATTTCATTTTTCACATTTGCAAAATGAGGGAGATGAACTAAATTATAAAATCTTATATATATTTTTTACAGATGTAACTTGTCTGCTTTTGACAATTAGAGAGAATTGGTTTTGTTGGCTTTTTTAGGCTGTGAAAAAGTGCACATTGTTAATAATTAAAGGGTGGAGAGATTTAAGTCATAGGACTGTAAAAGAAGCATTTTTCACATTTATGAAATTTAGCATGAATTTTAACATGAGATGTTTAAATTACTCTTGCCTCTTGAAGACCCTTTCTTTTCCATACGAGATTGTGAAGTTATCAAACCAGCCAGAACATAGAAAAGAAGTCAGACACAGAACACACTATGGATTACTTTGAAGTCACTGAGTCAATATTTGTGAAAGAGACCAGGAGTTCTGTACTTTCCTATTTAAATGAAGCATTTTAAAGGCAGCTATTATTAACATAGACCTTGATGAACAGGAATGTCCACCCTGTCTTTGTATCATAGTATCTAGAAGAGAAGCAGACACACAATTGACTTTTGGAACACATTTACAAAATGTTTCATTATGCTTATTTTTTAATATGGTAAATTAACCATGTAAGTCATTATATAAATTCCTTGGTAGCTCTTCCATGTTTATGGGTCACAATCCCTTTGAAAAAAAATTCCATTATATTTCTCTGCAGTATTTGAAGTACCTGCCAGGCTCTTGAGCTAAATTTTCTCTACCTTTCTCGAAGGTCTATAAGAGTGTACAAGGATACTTTAAATGGCTTTGTGTACATAACTGGAGGATAATATTCTCTTTTATGTGGCAGATAAATGATTCTGTAATGCCCGTTGTAGAATGCACTTAGAAAATCAGAAACTCATGTGTGAATGACTGTGATTGGAGTAGGGGGGTTTCATATGTATTCATCAACATTTTTGATAGTGACTAACTCTGCCAGGAATGAACAAACACCTGATCCAACAGGGGGAAAATCACAGGACAGATGGCCCTTCATCAGGCCTCCCCAAATCCTTGCCTTCCTTCACAAGCAGATCTGGTTTCCAAGGTAAAGACCAGTACAATAGTTCAGCCCAGCTCATCCTGACCTATGTTGAGATAGCATGAAAGAAATGAAGGGCCCTGACCCATTATGAAAAACCTTCAGTTGTTTGTGGTCTTCAAAGAGAAGTCATCAAAATGTGAACCTGAGATTTCCTACTGCAAGTAGGCTTCCTATCTTCCCGTAGATGTCCATACATATCAAGGCACCACGATAACATTTTTTTTACATATAAATGAATTTGACCACACAATCACAATCATTGTCATTTTTTCACAATGGATTAAATACTGACTCGCAAATCCATGCCCCAAAGCCAAGCTGTGCACCCTTCCCTGCTAGGCTCCCCTATTGCTTATCTTCTCCCTTCCTTCTGCCTCCCAAGTTTTATAGACAGGCATTAATAAGGGGAAAGTCACATTAGAAACAAGCAGAGACCCCTGCATCCAAGCAGTGTCATATGTCATTGTGTCCTCTGTGGGAAAGCTTAAGGGTGTGACCCACTGGAGGTCTGGAGAGCTGACCAGTTCACTATTGCTGGCTCAGAAAAAAAAAAAAAAAAACAGTGCAGAACAATGATGTGTTGGTAGACAGTTTAGGTAACTTCTGCAGATCTAAGTCAACTTCTAGACAGTTACAAATGTGTAGCTTTATAGCTAGGAGAAAAACAACAGGAATAGGTTCTATCTGAGGAGAAAAGTGAATAGGAGCCAACCAGATGTTTGAAAGACCATGGTGGCTGCTACTGGATTAATAACTTAAAATTTTAAAAATATATATGTATATACTATATATCTGAGTAAGATTTAAAATGTTCTCTCTCTGATATCTTGAAGCTAAAACTTGTAGGGAATCAACCCCATTTACAACTGAACCCAAAACCATCAGATATGTAGGAATAAACCTAACCAAAGCAGTGAAAGACCTGTATTCCGAAAACCATAAAACACTGATGAAAGAAATTGAAGATGACAAGATGTCGTCAATGGAAAAACATTCCATGCTCATGGATTAGAAGAACAATATTGTTAAAATGTCTATACTACCCAAAGCAATCTACATACACATTGAATGCAATCCCTATCAAAAACTAAAACTTATATTTTTAAACATGCATTTTTTTTTGCCAAACTAAAGATACA